AACGTCTGGCAACGCACGATCTCCCGGACACGGGGCTGTAGTATCTCTAGATCCACGGTGGTCGATAGCCTGGTTTTTTTAAGTCCAAATTTTCCCTTGAATCGATTTCCGTTGTTTTGGTGTTTTTCTTTCAGTTTTACTAGATCACCCCCTCCCGCTGTTACAGATAAATCTGTCCCGTAACCCACTTAACACGCAGTCGGATCTGCCTGTAATTGGCAAACTCTGGCGCTAGATCGGTTGGCGAAGGGGACAGGTACTGCGGCGCGCGGGCTAAGATCTCTGGCGCTGCATGGGGGGTGTGTAGAACCTTCCGCGCGAGAGTTAAGTTAGCAATCTTTGCCAAACTTTCCATCGCTCGCACGATTCCATTAAAAAGGGTCATGATCCGGCTCTTTCCTCGCTAACCGTGACGGTGGCCCACTGAGATATCCTCCTCTTGGAGGAAAGCCTGCGGGCCGATGATACAGGTTGTCAGGGGCGGACACAGCACTTTCGCCAGCTATTGGAAATTAGCAACGGCGAATGGACAAGTTGTGATTCGGGCAGATATTCTGCTAACGAATGCTGGGAAACTCACAGTAAAATTTCAGTATTCGATTCGTGAAGTTTTAATATAATTTTAAATTGAAAAAATATTGTTTGTCTTTTGTGTAACCTTTTGCAACAGATATTGTGTCAGGACGTTTCATGAAATAGAAGCGAAGTAATATATAGTTAAAAATTCTTATTTTTTTCAGGTGTAGGGAAGGTGATTGTGTATTTGGCAACTCAAAATATGTACAAAGTGTATATAATATCAACATTGTAAGTGATGTTGCACTTTCTCCTCTTCCTCTTTAAAAGTTTCATCTTTTTTCATCTCTCTTCATTTTGTATTATCCTTACCATTTTTTAAAATTCTCACTCTTCAATCATATCAATAAGTTTTCCCTTTTCAGGGTTCAAATTCTGAGGATTTCAATTCGAGACTCAATGCGGGTAATTCCAAACCCGTTAGTTCAAATCTCGCCCTATCCATGTGACGAGTCTTTCATTCAACCATTCCTGCATCGTCATTCATCTAACCAGCAATATTATCATCTACTCGTAGAATCTTTCCTATCCTTACTGTAAACGAAATATCGGGTTCTGGTTATAAATAAATAAGTAAATAAATCTGCGTATTTCATAAGATGGTGTCTCACGCTCTGTATGACAAAGCAATATCTTAGTCTACAGCGCTTCCGGAGTCAATAATGAAGTAAAAAACCTTATGGGCTTTTCCAGTTCCCCCTGCTTTTAAAATTTCAAAATTGTTTTAAATCCTCATTACCATAATTTTTCCTAACAAGAGTTATATTAGTAACATAATACCTCGAATACAGTATATATTTACGACAAATCTTGGAGAATATCTTTAGAATTTATTATTTTTTGTAGGAAGGGATACTTTCACCTGTTGGTACCACGTGCTTCCGCTGCCGTATCATACTGTGCTCAGAAAGTTCGCGTTCCGGGTTTTTAGCTGTGTTTGTTTGCCTGTGTTTAGCTGTTTTGTTTTTCAGATTTATGGTTTTAATCACATCAAAATTAGATGTTATTTTGTTTACTTTTCTTCATTTTGGTTTTTAGGTTGTGGCAAATTTATTCATTTACATTTTTTTAATTTAATTTCTTTTTCTTTGCAAACTTAATTTAGAATGTATGAACCACCAACCCTAAAGTGATCCATAGAGGGGGCAAACGGTTATTTTTTATAACTTTTTAAATATAATTATATATTTGAACGGGATTCGTAACCAATGCCTACCGGGAGGTTACTCTCTGTTCTCCGGGCGTGAGGCACCTCGGTTTTCTCGATATTCGTTTGTTCCCGTGGGCCCGACTTTTGCCGTCAAAGGAATTTTAAATATTTTGTTCAGTAATCAAAACATTATTTCTCTACTATTAAAAAGGAATCAAGAGCCTTGACCTTTTAGCAACTTTATGTAGTTGGCTTGACATTTGGATATTGTATTGAAATAGTGGTGCATTTTAAAATTAATATTTCTTCCTGATTTCTTATGACATTTCGAAGCACAAAAAACGTGAGAAGTTTAACAGAAACATTTTCTTGTGTATCGGAGTCTCCTAGGAATGGCTTTAGAATTGGGGAAAGGGAATAAAATACGCTCTCATAATGGAAAGGTGCGAGACAAACTAATTTAGCGCTAAACTAGCGCTCCGTCCAATTGCGGGATTCGTCGACACCGTCGAGCGCGTAACTTTCGATACATACAGAACAGTAGAAAAGCGCCACGTTTGGCATCGCAGCACCATAAGAGACCGTACTCCATTCATAACCTCGGATGAGCTATAGATTAGTGAGTATTAGTATTCTTCCGGCGTCGCGTCTGATGTCAATTTTCTGTCACTACTTTACTGTCCAGATAGTAATTGCCACTGCAGCAATATCCAATGTCTACCCTTGGCACCGCCTACAGCACACCCGGGAGCGTCGACAGCGTAGTAAACACTACTCCCTCATATCGCGAGCCCCTGTTCCCCTAAGGTTTGTTATTCTTGTAAATTTTCCCGCCTTATGAGCTGCTCTTGTCTGGTCCGTCGCCCTG